GGGCCCACCATCTTCTTCTCGGCTCCCAGCACGCCGCAGGGCATCGGACCTAACAAACGTCAGGAAGTCTTTATTCGGCGACAGTACGCCTCCCCCCCCCCAAGAAAAGGTGCATGCTGCAGGGAAAACACGGAAGCTTGGAAGCAAATGCTGTAGGGAAGACACGGAATCTTGGAAGCCGCTTTGCACGCCTTTTGGTACTTTTGAACAGATTGTCTCCGCACTTCTCTTCTTTGAAATCCTTTTTCTCTGCCCAATTTCCCCCTGGAAACTCAAAGCCAGTTGGTTTAGTAGAGCCATCAAATTAACAGCTGGCGGTTGGTCGCTTGCTTGCTTCAGTTCGCATTGCCTCTGCACTTCCTTGCCGACAAAACCTTTCAAGTGGGTGTTCTTGATCTCCCCCCCCAGGTATCAAAGAAGGGGGCCCAGAAGTGTATCCACCTCGAAGCACCATACATCAATGCCAGAGTTGGGCCAGGTAAGTACTCAGACATGTCCAAACCACTGCTGTGACATCAATTCCTTTACCTGTCAACTCAAAGGAGAGGATGGGATGGGCATTAAAGACAAATTTGCCACTGGGGGACCGTGGCCAGAAAAAGTTATCTTCGGGCTTCCTCTTGGCCATCATCCAAAAGGAGGTTCAGTCTTGGGCTACGGAACCTTTTGTCGAACCCCATTTCTCCCCCGGGCTCCTCCCAACGACAATCGAATTGTTAAGCTCAAAGAGCGGCTGAAACATCTTGAAGAGGTGGCCCATCCCCCCGCCGGGGCCCCTCCCTGAGCTCTGGGCACTTGTCCGGGGTGGTCTGGTGCACCATCTCCTGGAAGCTTTCCACGCCGCTGTAGGGGGTCAGCCCCGGGTACCAACTGGGCGTGGCGTGGCAAGCACCGGTATCCGACAGATTCGGTGGGTACAGACCTAGCCGGAGATCCTTTTTAGTGGGCCAAAGCCTTGGCAAAGGGACAAAACCGCAGAATTGGGCGGCAACAGCCTCAAAATTGAAAAGCATGACGCCCAGAGCATGGAGCAGATTTGTGTGGTGAAACGGTGAAACAGGTGCTGGAAGCCGATCGGCTGACTCAAACCTGTCGTCTGCTTGTGGATGCGTGTTCAACCCCCACACCTCCAAGATTGCGTTTTGTTCAAACCCCCCACACGTCAAGGAAACCAGGTGACGCGTCTGTGGCCTGCTGGGTTTGCTCTGCCTTGCCGGCGTTGGAAACAGAAACTGGCAAGGCTAAGCCAACCCAGTCTCAGAAGCCTGGGCAAGGCCAACGTCTATTCCCCGGGCGATGGCCCGTGCAAGTCCAAAAAAATATTAAGAATAACAGCTGCAGCATGTTGGCTGAAAGCTCGCGTCCGTGCCAGGGTGGAATTAAATATTTTTGACCAGCATGATGATGAGCTATGCAATTTGTTGGTTGCCTCCCCACGATACATCGTGCTCCCCGACAACTAAAACCCCAAACAGTAAAAACTTTGCCAGTAATACTCGGTTGCTTTCTGCCCCCCTGCTAAAAGTTTAACTTTTAGTGGTTTAATGGACAACCCATTAGTTGGCAAAAAGTTCAAGTCCTAACATCCAAGCAAAATGCACCAAAGAATACCTCTTAGGACCCCGACTCCGGGTGGCCGTTGATGCCGTCCACCATGGCCCACTGCACCTCCTTCCAGCAAGCCTCGCCTGACCGGGATCCATCTGTGGCCAGGCGGGGCCAATCCATGACCCAGGTCAGTGGCTGAAACCGAATGATATGCTTCTACGTTAATGATCCAAAAGCTGTTGTAAGGGATCCCCAAGGACCTTTCTCAAGCTCCTGAAACCCAGCGCTCGCTATCAAATAGGCAGAAAGAGAAGCTGAGCGAGAAAGTATGTTGGCAGGAAAGTGGCGGGAAAGTATGATAGCATAGCTTCGCGATGGGAGGGGCTTGTCCGCTGGATCCAGGAAGGAACTCAAGAAACTTGAGACCGAACCCGATCCAAAGAAATACACCAAGAAACACGAACAAAGTGCAGGAAGACAACGGCCACGAGACTGCAGACCTCAGCAGGCTGCCCCCTGCCTGGCACCGTGGTGTGGCAACTCGGCGCCGAAGCTTTCGCCTGCGCACGCCCAACACGAGCTTCCACGAGAAAGAAAACCAAGTTCAACCCTTTGTCAGATGATTCTTAAGCAAACGCTGACGAAAGAAAGCGCAAAGTGTGCCGACACAGGAGAAAACATTGTACAGCCGAAGGGCCAATGCAGACGCGACGAACAAGCAGCGAATGTTCTACGCTCCTTGGGCATAAGGCGAACAGGACAGGATAATGTCGAACCCAAAACGCAAGAAGCTTCGTGGACAACGTGTTGGTGTCCCTTCAAAAGCGGCCTGAAAACAAAGAAGGGACAGGTGGCAAGCCTTTGCAAGCAAAAGAAGATTGAAAGAGCAGAGAGGTCTCAACGTCAAGGAGCCGCTGCAAGCCCTTGGCTTCGAGCGAACCCATGGGTAAGG